CTTTGATATATAAATCCGATTGGTGTTTGTAATCTTAAGACTTAGTAGATTGTTCATTGTTTAGGTATAACCCTGCATATGTAAATTGTTTAACCGAACTGCGATATCAATCTCTAGTGTTCTATACATTCTGCATTATTTTCTTACTTGGTTAACTTACGTTTCTGCATTATCGTCAGTGTTTCATAAAGTGTTTCAACACTCTCTGAAACACCTGTGTAAAAAACAAATCTAACAATATTAAAAAAACAAGATATATGATGAACAAAAATGATTTAGCCTTTGTTACGCATGCGATCAGGTTTAAAATCTTTAGATGAATTAGCCTCGACATAAACAGTTTTTACTTTCCCCCTTATTTGTTCATATACATAATCTTTTTTTTTTTTTTTGGAAAAATTCTCCATTATAGATCAAGTTTTGGCTTTTAAATATATCATAATTTCAAACTTAAAATCTCAAGTAAACAAAAAAATCATCTATGTTATTATTTAACTCTTCATAGTAATTTTAATTTGAAATTTTGGTCCATTTCATACCTCTTGCTCAACGGGATTTAAAAAAAAAAGCAAATAAAATCATAATTCATAACACTAAAATATATATATATATATACGAAAAAGAAATCACCACGTTTTAGCTAACTACTGATCACCCACTTATTTATATTTTGTCTACACCATTGCTGAGATAGAGTTACAAACTATAAAATTTAAATTTGTGTTTTCTCTTATAAAATTAAAATTTAATTTTTTTATTATATTATTTTTTCTCGTATGAAGTTATTTTTTTAACTCAAATTCTCAATTAGAATAAACGAAACGAACGGCGATAAAGCATGAATAAGAATTTTGTTTTATTTTCTTTCAAAGATCATAGAAATGATCACAAAAAGTATATATGAAAGACGAAGGGAGGGAGTTCTATATCCGAATTAGAAATTTGCTCGATATTACAAACTCGTCAACTAAACTCATGGCCCTGATCAATTGTGTCATCATTTCAAACTTTTTCTCTTAAAATGTCCCAACTGCCAACAATACAACTCGGAAAATAGTAAAAAATATGTCAATATAAAAAGCTTAAAAAAATATATAGGTTAACTTTTAGTTATAAAAATTAATATGTCAAAATAGTAAAAAATAACCGAATAAGTTATAGACAAACTTGTCAAGTTATTATTCATAGTCAGACAATTATAGACAAAAACCGTGAATTATAAATAATAACTTATCAAATTATAATTAATAACCAATAAAAATAATAATTTAATCTATTTATTAACTTATATAAATTATTAACCTATTAATTTTAATTAATCTCTCGTCAACTAAACTCATGCCCTGATCAATTGTGTCATCATTTCAAACTTTTTCTCTTAAATGTCCCAACTGCCAACAATATACAACTTTTTTGTAGTATGGGCTGGGCCTTATTTTAAGGCATGCATAACTTCCCAAGTCTCACTCTTAAAAATAAATAAATAAAAGAAAAAAAAAAAAAAAAAAAAAAAAAAAAAAAAAAACCCCCCCTTTTAAATTTTTTTTTTTTTTTTTTTTTTTTTTTTTTGCGAATGTACTCTATTTTGTCCAATTTTAACATGGTTTTGCTTTTTGATTGATAGAAGCTTGAAAGAAAAGGCATTGACTATATGATTGATAGCAATAGTCGAACAAACATATATAGTGAATATTATGATTATCTTTTGTATTCTTATGAGGAGGTTGATTATAGTAACCTCACGCTATTCATTAAGTTTTTGTACTAAATAAATTCATCAATATAATTCACTTAACAGTTACCCCATCAGTTAATTAAAAATTGGGATATTCTTTATATCATCTTTCATGATATCATTTTCTTTTTCACCTTTTTTTTAGTAGCGATTCGTAAAGATCATGACAAATACAAATATGTGGACGTATAGTTGTTCTTTATCTCTTACCTATGGGATGCATGGATAGCTTCCACTATGCAAAACCGTGGGGACAAACAAATGTCTTTTTTTTTTTTTTTTTTGACAATACAAACAAATGTCTATTGGGACAAGCATTGATTATAATTATATTTCTTACAAAAAAATATTGCAAAAAAGGCATTAATTATAATTGTGTCAGCAAAAATGGTTTTTTAAAATTTTCCTTCCCTTCAGAAAAAAGTCACGCCAAAATAAATAAATAAATAAATGATGCTTTCATCGGTGCATCTGAATTTCTAAGGGGGAAAAAAATAACTTTTGTTTGATGTAAGATTTTAGATAAAAGGAGCACTTTCGATATCCCGTTAGAGCTCTTCTTTGAACTTTAAAGGGTTGATCTGTCATATACATTTGAATTAGGGTTGTATTCTTTTGTAACATTTCAATTTCAATTAAAGTTGTATTCCTATTATGGTATTTATAATAATAACGCTATTCAATGATCAAATTATTTTGTAAGCTAGATCTTGTTTTTCTACTTTTTTTTTTTTTTTGCATGTGCTCATGAGGGTGAAATTTTGGATAAGAAATAGGGAGTTTCTCCAGTGTTCTCTCTTTTTTAAGAACACTGGTGACAATCACACTATATTGAAAAAGTATGCATAACATACATATTTTAATATAGATCTAACGGCTGAAAAACATAAAATACCGGTGTTCCTAAAAATGAGGGAACATCAGAAAAAGTCCTTAAGAAATATATCTCTCTGTCTTCATTTATTTTCTTCACTCTGAAAATCGGCTAGCACAAATCAAATTTGCAAAACATATAGGGACTTTCTCCAGTGTTCCCTCCTTTTTGGGAACACCGGTGTTCTTTACTTTTTCAGCCGTTAAATTTTGTCAAAATCACATCAGATTGAAAAATATATGCAGAATAGACAGATTCTAATGCATATTTGATAGCTGAAAAGTAGAGAATATCGATGTTCCTAAAACAGAGAGAACAACGCAGAAACTCCCAAACATATAAAGCCTAAATTAAGAAAATAAATATCCATTTTGCATCTAGTTTTAAAAGCCGTCATATGAAAAATATTTTATTACGTTGTTTTTATTTTTAAATAAGAAAGCAATCATTATAGCAGTCGCAATTGTGATGTGCTGATGTTGGTAGTTAACTAAGGTTTCGTTAATTTTATCGATTTATGTTTTCAGTTCTAAGATTTTACAGTTAAAAGTTCTTAAAAAATGTTACATCTAATTTTTTCTGCTATAGTTAAAAGTTCTCATAAAATGTCACATGTCAATTTAAATTGAAAACTCAAATCTGCGAAATAAATGAGACCTAAAATATTCATTTTGTGTAGTTTTAAAAGACGTCATAGGATAAATATTTCTTTAAGGAAAAAAAGTAATTTTTATAGGACTCGCATTTGTGATGTGCAGATCATGTGCTAATGTTGGTATGAAAAGACGAGTGGGTATAATCTTTTTTTTTTTTTTTTTTAAACATTTTAAAATTGCAAAGCATACAGGTTGGCATGTTTGTACTTAAAATATTGCTTTTAAATTTGAAGATTTTTTTTTTTCTCGTGATTTTACACTTCCTGCAAAAATAAAATTCAAGGACAAAAATGATAAACTTTCACGACAAGTCACAACTCAAGTTTTGATGTTATATGTTTTCTTTAATAAAAATTTAAATTTTTAATTTTTTTATTACAGTATTTTTTTCTCATATATATAATTTAAATTGAAAATTTGAGTTGTGAAATAAACATATAAGTTCTTTTTTGAAGAAAATGTTATAGAACCATCCTATACCCAATGGAAAAGGGGGTCTTTCTTTGTATTGGGTATTGAAAATGGCCTCATGCTTGTATTTTTTTTTTCAATTAATAAAAAATGGATCTTAGTGTCATCAAGCTTCCTATTTCCTTCATTATTTTGAAAATATGGGGTCCACTAGTATAATTGAAAGAGTCTGACTCAATTTTAATTGAAAAATAATCTTGATTTTCGTTCATGCCATTATATATTTACAGCCGCACAACACATTGACCTAACACATTAACCGCCGCATAGGGAGTCTTAAAGTGGGGTTGTAGATTATCAAATTCACGTACGCATTTTGGAAGGAGAAAATATATAAAAACATTGTTTATATATTTTTGAAATTTATACATGTGTTATTTGGGAGTGTGTTATGACATTACGGGTTTGAAGTGCAAGTATTGTGGAAAGACATTTATGATAATTTGTTTTGTAAGGTGTGAAATGTGTGTGTGTGTGTGTTTTTTTTTACGAGTTTTATGTGAATTTTGAACGTTTAGTTTAGAAACATGTTCTAACAGCATAGATAGCTTAAGATAGATTTTTGTTGGCACTCGTTTAGTTCGTTGATTTAAATTTTTAATTTGAATTAAGATGTAATTTTATACGATAACTTTTTACTGTAACAGAAAAGTTTAATATAACTACTTTTAAAATTTTTTTATTATAATAAAACTTAAATTTTAAATTCTAAATTAATAAAATAAACACACACTCAGAATGATTTTAATTTGCTAGAAAATAGAGACCCCAAAATATTAAGCACATAATAGTAAAGATACAGAGCCGTGAGATCACGTCTCAGTTACATCACATCAAAAAATGTATTCTGATTGAATTTAGTGAAACTTTAATAGAAGTTTCGTAATTCAGAAGGCAACCAAAATTTTTTTTTCCCAAAAAATTTATGTCGTGAAAAATAATAGAAATGACGTATAAAACAGGACAGAGAGAAATAAAATAATGCTTAGAAGAGGCAAGAGGGCATTATTTTTTCATAATAGGAAAAAAAAAAAAAAAAAAAACAAGGCCAGTATTTTTGTACCAAAAATAGAAAGTCCAGACAGTAACTCCAACTTTTTATTTTCTTTTTTCTTTTTTCTTTTTTCGAAAACCAAGACCTGTCCCCTTGTTATTAATTATTCGTACCTCTTGGGACCAAAAGTAGGGACGACGACGACGACGATGAACGCAGAGAAGAGGAAAAAGAATCCACAAAACCAGTAACAACAATATATATACATATACATATATATGTGTGTGTATATGCATGTATATATATATATATAGATATGTATATTTGTAATGCTTGTTATAAATTCGTACCCACATCGACACCTGTTGTATATATCTCATCTCCATTCTCATTCTCAACCACTTCATCTCTTTAATCCAATTAACCCGGCCTATAAATCTCCAAGCCTTCCTATATTCCCTTTCCTCCACCACAAATCACCAGGAAGAGAAAGAAGGAGAAGAAGAAGAAGCGCTTCATTGTCATTGTCGTTTTCCTTCTCGTCGTCGTCTTCTTCTTCTTCCTCTAGTTGTCGTATGTCGTTCCCGTCGAAGATGATGATGGTGACCGTCGATCCTTACGTGTTCTGGACCTTCTTCGCGTCGCTCGTGGGGTTCCTACTTCTCGGGTTTCTTCGCCGCCGTAATGCTGGCGGTTACAAGAGGAAGACGGTGATGAAGAAGAAAGCCACCGTGGCCGACGCCGAAGACGGGGAATTCAGGATGGTTCCCAGCTCCGATACCGACGTCATCATTGTCGGCGCCGGCGTTGCTGGCTCTGCCCTCGCTTGTACTCTTGGCAAGGTAGGAATTCGGGAATTCTTTTATTTCTTATTTTATTATTTTTTGTGGTATTTGAACCTAGATAGTGATTGATAATTTGGATTAAGGCACTGAGAATTTCCCATTTTTGTAGACTTTTTTCCAATCACGGAAAGTTGGGATAAAACACACAAATTAGTGAACTGGGATGAATTTGTAGACTTTTCTTCAAGTTTTTGACGCAATCTTTATTTTTATTTATTTAAAGTTTTCGTTGGATCAACTTTAACACTTGAATAGTTCTGCCTTCTTATTGCAGCGATTATAATTTCACTTTGCAATTTTTTTAATCATGTGTCGTTTTCCATCGATTTTAGCTTACTTTTGGAGCTTTTTTCTTTTTTAATCAATGGTTTTCTTCTAGACACAGGTGGTCCAGGTCTTGTTTATAAATATAACCTTGATTAATTAATATAGTTTTTTGGTCATAAACAAAAACCACTCAATTCTTGCAAGGAATGTTGCTCAAATAATCATATGTTAGTACTATTTACAGGATGGAAGAAGAGTTCATGTGATCGAAAGGGACTTGACAGAGCCAGACAGAATTGTTGGTGAACTTCTCCAGCCTGGAGGGTACCTGAAATTAATCGAATTAGGCCTTGAAGGTAAGCCTGAATTCTGGGATTGTGATTTGTACTCAATGTCGACGGCTATCAATCTCTGGATGTTGTTCTGGCTTCCATTGAATTGTTTCGATTTCGATACCTAAACCTGCGTTTCCATTTGCTTCATTCAGATTGTGTTGAGGAAATTGATGCTCAGAGAGTGCTAGGATATGCTCTTTTCATGGACGGTAAAAGCGCCAAGCTTTCGTATCCTTTGGAAAAGTTTCACGCAGATGTCGCCGGTAGGAGTTTCCACAACGGACGTTTTATACAGAGAATGAGAGAAAAAGCTGCTACCCTTCCTAAGTATGCTTTTCTCCTCCCATGATTTTCATGTGTTATCACTGCCCTTTTACTTGTTATGCAGTACTGATCCGCTCTTCTGCGTTCGATTTTTCTCTTACAGCGTGCGGTTGGAGCAAGGTACCGTGACATCCCTGCTTGAAGAAAATGGGACAGTTAAGGGGGTTCAATACAAAACAAGGGATGGTCAAGAACTAAAAGCTTATGCTCCTCTAACAATCGTTTGCGACGGTTGCTTCTCAAATCTGCGGCGCTCTCTTTGCGAACCGAAGGTGATTTTGTCATCTTAAAGCTCGCTGAAATTTTCATTTTATAGATTCATTCCTTTTTTATCACATAAAGTCATAAAGTGAGACCCTTTGATTTTGATTTTCTTTTCAGGTGGAAGTGCCGTCTTGTTTTGTTGGTTTAGTCCTGGAGAACTGTCAGCTCCCATTTGACCACCATGGTCATGTCATTCTTGCAGACCCTTCTCCCATTTTATTCTATCCGATTAGTAGCACCGAGGTTCGCTGTTTGGTTGATGTGCCCGGCCAAAAGGTACCTTCCATCGCTAACGGTGAGATGGCCAAGTACTTGAAGACCGTGGTCGCTCCACAGGTAACTCCTATTCAAGATTTCATTTTTGCTCTCAAAACTCAAAGTACTAAAGATTTAGGAGTTACCTTTGAGCATAAGAAGTTTCAACTGATTCAAGGAAGCACAAACAAGAATGGTGTGTTTTCAGTAGAAATCTCATGTCCAACTTCCTTTTTGGGGCTAGTCTTATTTCTTTCCCTGATTGAATCAAACCTACAGATACAAAGGAAAAGTTTTCAACTACTGAATTTTCTTCGGAAAGTCGCTACCAATACATGGGTTCCGAGATTTATTTCCTTTTCCTGGCTGGTTAATTGGTGGTTCATGTTAATTTTTATTCTGTTTTTTTTTTTTTTTTTTCTTTGATCCTGCTCCAAATTGGATTGTTGAATGAGACATTTGTTCAGGTACCACCTGAAATCCAACAAGCCTTCATATCCGCGGTCAATAAGGGAAACATCAGAAGCATGCCAAACAGAAGCATGCCTGCCAATCCACATCCTATACCTGGAGCCTTGCTCATGGGTGATGCTTTCAATATGCGCCATCCCTTGACCGGTGGAGGAATGACTGTGGCGCTGGCCGATATTGTTGTCCTGCAGGACCTTCTCAAGCCATTGCGCAACCTAAACGATGCAGCGTCGTTGTGTGAATATCTTGAGTCGTTCTACACTTTGCGCAAGGTAAATCCGAATCTGAATTGCAATTATCCTTTGATCTTGCTTATATACGGATTTAATCATTTTACGCGTCTATCAGAACTTCAGTGAATGCTTTTCAAAACATGTGCATGTGTTATTTATATCGAAGATGTTTGTCTTGAGGAATTCATACAACTTGTTACTGTGACTTTTGCAGCCTGTAGCCTCCACAATAAATACTTTGGCGGGCGCCCTATACAAGGTGTTCTCCGCTTCCCCCGACGAAGCAAGGAAGGAGATGCGCCAAGCATGTTTTGACTATCTAAGCCTAGGTGGTACTTGTTCATCTGGTCCGGTGGCTTTACTCTCCGGTCTAAACCCTCGCCCACTAAGTTTAGTTCTCCATTTTTTCGCCGTTGCCATATACGGTGTTGGTCGTCTTCTACTTCCGTTTCCTTCCCCTAAACATGTGTGGATCGGAGTGCGGTTGATTGTGGTAAGCATTGTTGATCCTTTTGTATTGTATAGTTGTTTCTCATTTTCAAGTCTTTTACATTTTAAGTAATTACATTTGACATGAAATTTTGTTAGCTTTTCACAAGGACCACCAATTTGAAACGGAAACTCCAACATAATGAAAAAAATCAACTTGTTGTATGGAAACAAAGCAAATACGTTTTACTTTATATATGTATATATATATATATATAAATATTTTGCGTTCATATATCAAAAATATGCTTTCTTTACAGGGTGCATCAGGTATAATATTTCCTATCTTGAAGGCAGAGGGACCACGGCAGATGTTTTTCCCGGCAACCATACCGGCCTATCATAGAGCTCCACCTATCAGGGGAGATACGACAACAAAGTGACTATGGCAAGGATCCCAATTACGTGTGAATTTCTTCCATTGAATTGTACCTTTGATTGTGGAAGAATGTTTCATTTGTCGTAGAACTGAATAAAATGTAAAACTATTCATACAGAGACACGATTTTTCCAAAAAAAAAAAAAAAAAAGGATTATGAATATATTTATATTGCTAGAATGAAACTCTCCTTCATTGTATGCTATGTGTTTCTGTTGACCATGTTTGTTAATTACGTCCAAGAGTATATGGATACCAAGCAACAGATTAAAAAAAAAATTGTATTAATAAAAGTTTGAAATTGAATTCTCAAGAATCCACATTGATGGGAGCCCAGATTACGTTATGAATATATTTATATTGCTAGAATGAAACTCTCCTTCATTGTATGCTGTGTTTCTGTTGACTATGTTTGTTAATTACGTCCAAGAGTATATGGATACCAAGCAACAGATTAAAAAAAAAATTGTATTAATAAATGTTTGAAATTCAATTCTCAAGAATCCAAATTGATGGGAGCCCACATTACACATTAATGATGACGTTTTGGTATTTGGTAAAAGGAAAATTTTCCTTTACGATATAAAAAGGAACCTTACCTTTCATTTTAACTTGTTAGATGTGTGTCATATTGTATCAATTTTACATACTTTTTTAAAATTTAATGTGATTTTAACACTGCAGTTTGTAACCCCTAGAAAGTTCCTTTGATCTAATTATCGTGTTTGTTTTGGTAGTTAGCTTTGTATGAAATTCAAGAGGATTCTAAAATCCTGGATATTCATCTCGGACCTCTCCTTTAGGATCAACAGTGACTAGGCCATTCGAGAAGATTCTATTTTTTTGAATATTGAAAACGAGGAAGAATGTAACTTCAAACGCCATTTCTTTTTTTGGTAATTGATCCTAATGTGATATTCAATCAATGTGACTGCCCCCCTCCAAGAGATGTGGTCCATGTGGAGGACCCCCCACCTGCGCAAAGTCTGGTTCTGGTTCTGTCTACGTCATTTTTTTAATTCTTGTTATATTTATTGTTTCATTATTAGGAGATTTTCTGTGTGCTTAGTACACGGGTAAATTAAATTTTTTTAACTATTAAATTTATATTTTTTTAACTATTAAATTTATATTTTTTTATTTTTACGCGATGTTATGTAAATTTAACAGTTAAAAAATCTAACTTGGTGATATATTAACATATCAAAGAAGGTCCATTCATTATTATGTTTTCTTGTAAAAAGATAACTATTAGTGTCCTCTCACCCATTATTTAATGACTATATAAGAAATTTCCATCCCCAATCTTAAAAATCTTAACAAAATATAACAACGTTAATTGTTTTAATTCTTATACTAATTTTTTGTAGCATTAATTATTAGAGTGAATTGTCATTTTTCTATTAAGAAATGTTTGTTTCATTCCTACAAAATTTTAAATCTCACTAATGGAATACTAACAAGGCTGACATGTTCTTCTGTGTTTTACCATTACTTTCCTATTCTGTCTTCCTAAAGATGCTCTTCTTTTGGTAAAGCTCTACTGCCAAACATATTTTTCGTTATTTTGGCTTCTTCTAGCATTGTAAGATATTCAATCGGGTCCTTTTATGCTGTCAAGATACTTTTTTCAAGCACCGTGTTAGGAGACACTTTTTTTAAGCACCGTGTCGAGAGATGCGATAATTTATAAAATTTTACGTTAGAACTTACAAATTCAAACGACAATTTGTGAAATTTTAAATTTTATGATGAATCGTTCGAGTTTACAAGTTCTAATGTAAATTATCGTAAAATTCAAATTTTATAAATTATCGTAACTTTTACAATTTAATCGTTCGAGTTTGTAAATTTTAACGTAAAATTTCACAAATTATCGTATGTCCTGGTACGGTGCCGGGAATATTCTCCCTGACAGCATAAAAGAATCTTATTCAATATCTATTCTATCTTACGAGTCCCAACAATACATTAACGGAAGAAAAACAGAAAAAGAGAATTGGTATGGAATACCTTGGCCATGAATGAGCACAATCGAATTTAATCTTTTATGTGAAAATCCTGACTTTCTGTTTCGTTCGAAAGGTGAAGACGTAACCTCCTAACACGATATTTTTGACGTTATCCAACTGCAGCCAGGTTGCTTCATTGTCCCTTTTCTCCTCATCAATTCCCTTATAGTAGCTGCCTCTTGCCATTGATCAGCTGCTGCATAAATATTTGCTAACAGCACGTAAACCGAAGGATTATTTTCTTCTGCTTCAAGCAGACTTCGAGCAACTATTCTTCCCAACCTTAAATTACCATGAGCTGCACAAGCACTGAACAATGACCACCATATGGTGGAATGTGCCTTGAGATGCTTGATATTTAGTATTTTTTCAGCCTCGTCGAGGTACCCGCCACGTCCTAGAAGGTCAACAATGCAAGAGAAATGATCCACTCCAGGCACAAGGCCATGATTTTTCACCATGGAGTTAAAAATCCGTGTACCTTCATCGACTAAACCAGCATGACTGCAAGCCGAAAGAACTGCTGTGAAGGTGGCCTGGTCTGGTTTGACCCTAGACAAGCCTTGCATTGCCTCGAAGCAGCGCACAGCTTCCTCTCCTCGCCCATGCTGAGCATATGCCGATATAAGGGCATTATAAGAGATAACATCTCTCTCAATCATTGCGTCGAATACTTTCAGTGACCAATCTAAAATGCCACCTTTAGCATACATCGTAATGAGGGTATTGCCTAAACAAGTTTCAGAAAAAAGTTTAGACGTGATAGCATAGCCATGAACTTGTTTCCCTAGTCTCAAGGCTGAAATGCTTGAACAAATGCTAAGAACTATGGTGAACGTATACACATTTGGCCTGATTTCTGACATCAGAAGCTTAGAAAACTGTTCTAAGCCTTCCATTGGGAATCCATTGAATAGGAACCCAGAGATAATTGTATTCCAGGAGATCATATTTTTCGGATTAATATCAAGGAATATTTGGTATGCAGGATTCATCTTCCCATGCTTAGAATATGCGGAGACTAATGCATTTGAAACTTGTATTTTAAGGATAAGCCCATTCTTGATAACAAGGGCCTGAACCATTTCCACAATATTTGTAGATTCTGCGCATGCCAACAGACTTCCAAAAGTAAACTCGTCTGGTTTGATTCCTTCCCTCTGCATTTGCAAGTAGGCCAAGGCAGCCAATTTACTGTCATTCGCCTGAGTGCAGCTTGAGATCATACTATTCCATGAGATAATATCCTTGTTTTCCAATCTCCAAAAAACCATCTCAGCCGCATTCAAGTCCCCACAACTTGAATACATCATTATTGCCGCATTGCTCACCGAAGTATCAGCTTCAAAACCCAATTTAATAGCTTCGGCATGTAGTTGGCGGGCAACTCTAGCAGCTGAACACGAGCTCATGACACTCACAAAAGTCACTTCAGTCGGCCTTAAACCAACACAACACATCTGTTCAAACATTGTCAAGGCCTCTTCATCTCTCCCGATACTTGCTAAGCCATCTATCATAACATTAAAAGTAATCTGATCATACACCACGGACTCGGTCTCTTCAAATACCATACACGCATCCACAACGATTCCACAGTTGAAATACATCGTAATCAGCGCATTAACCACAGAAGTTCTACTCATGAACCCAGTTTTAATAACTAACAAATGCACCTGTCTCCCAAACTCCAAAACCTCCACAGAACACAAACTCAAAACACTAGCCAAAGAATAGTTATCACGCCCAACACCCATATTATGCATTTCACGAAAATAACGCATAGCAATCTCATCATGCCCGTTGTCCGCAAACCCGGTAATCATCGCGTTCCAAATCGCCACATCTCGGCTAGGCATTCCATCAAACACCTGCTGGGCATATTCCACGTCTCCCAACTTAACACAAGCAGACAACAGCGTAGTCCAAGAATAAACATCCGGGCTCTCAATCTCTCCGAAAACCCGTTTCACAGACCGTAAATCTCCCGCTTTTGCGTAGAGAGAAAGCAAAGTGTTGAAGACATGAGGGTAGGCTTTAAGGCCTGCACGGACAGCGTGGGCGTGGATCTGTGCGCCGGAAACGACGTCGCGGAGATTGGCGCAGGCGGTGATGGCGTTGGAGAGGGTGTAATGGTCTGCTCTGGGACGTTGAGAGGAGTGGAATTGGCCGAAAAGTTTGAGAGAATCCGAGTAACGCTTTGAGCGGTTCAGCTCGGAAAGCCTTTGGTTGAGTCTGAGAAGTTGTTCTGTGAATGTCTCGGTTATATTTGCTATGCTTTGTTTGTGGAGTGAGAACTTCATCTCCTCTGTTCATTGTTCTTCTGAATCAAAAATTGATTTATCATGACAGATAAGAATTCAAAGCTGAGGTTAGTTTTATGCTCAAAAATTGGTTATGTTTGCAATGCTTTGTTTGTGTCCTGAAATTGCTAGTATCCATTTCATCATTAGGCCACCGGTGTAGACTGTAGATACATTATTATTATTATAATTATTATTTTTATTATTTTTGCTAATCAAAGAGGATTTTATTAACAAGAACTAGCTAAAAACAAAGCCACCGCAGAGAGGGCAGCCATCCCTGCACGAATAAAACCAGTAAACTTGGCTCTCAAAGCCCATTTACATTATTTGTATTGTGTGGATACATTATTTGTTAGTGAATAATTAGCGTAAATATAATATAGGACTGAATTTTAATTTTCAGTTTGTTTCTTAAATTTTAAAAATTTTTATTTTATTTTTTAATTTTTAAATAGTTCTCGTTTAACTCTTTTTATTGTAATTTTTGTTAAAAATATATGAAAAAATGAGAGTAATGCAACTCATAAAAGAGACGTTTGGTTCATGAATTAGAACTATGAGATTAAAATTATTTTCGATTTATGTGTATTTTTTGTGAGAGAAAACACTGTAACGAACCATGAACTATGATTCAAATCATGGTATGAATCCTCTTACTAAACATCTCATAATTTGAATTTCAATTAAAAATAAATATAAATAAAAAGCACATGACCACCTTAATTTCTACTTTTTCTGTTTAATTTTAACAAAACTTCTTATAAAATGGCTTAAATAGGAAAAATTCAAAATTCAATGAATAAAACAAAAAGAAAAATGATTCTATAATTCAAGTAACACCATTGAGATTATTCTATAATGTACTTGTAAATAATAATATTAGCGTTATTTCTCGAAATGATTGATATGTATTTTTGAAAACGACTAACATGTTTAAAATGATCTCATTCTCATGTTTTACTTCAAAAAGGAAAGCGCTAGAGAGTCGGTTTCTATGCCGATTTTTTGCTATTATTTTTAGGACTTTTACACTCAACACAGATTTTCATAAACATAACCAAACATAATTTCATTTTTTTTCAACTTGGCTCTCAAAGCCCATTTACATTATTTGTATTGTGTGGATACATTATTTGTTAGTGAATAATTAGCGTAAATATAATATAGGATTATTATGACGGGTGTGTCTGAATTTTTAATTTTCAGTTTATTTCTTAAATTTTAAAAATTTTTATTTTATTTTTTAAATTTTAAATAGTTCTCATTTAACTCTTTTTATTGTAATTTTTGTTAAAAATATATGAAAAAATGAGAGTAATGCAACCCATAAAGAGACGTTTGGTTCATAGATTAGAACCATGAGATTAAAATTATTTTCAATTTATGTGTATTTTTTGTGAGAGAAAATACTATAACGAACCATGAACCATGATTCAAATTATGGTATGAATCCTCTTACCAAACATCTCATAATTTGAATTTCAATTAAAAATAAATATAGATAAAAAGCACATGACCACCTTAATTTCTACTTTTTCTGTTTGATTTTAACAAAACTTCTTATAAAATGGCTTAAATACGAAAAATTCAAAATTCAATGAATAAAACAAAAAGAAAAATGATTCTATAATTCAAGTAACACCATTGAGATTATTCTATAATGTACTTGTAAATAATAATATTAGCGTTATTTCTCGAAATGATTGATATGTATTTTTGAAAACGACTAACATGTTTAGAATGATATCATTCTCATGTTTTACTTCAAAAAGGAAAGCGCTAGGGAGTCGTTTTCTATGCCGATTTTTTGTTATTATTTTTAGGACTTATATACTCAACACAGATTTTCATAAACATAACCAAACATAATTTCATTTTTTTTTCCTTATAATTAAAGCAATCTCTCTTGTAAAATAATAATAATAATAATAATAATAATAACTAAACTATTTTCAAAAACATCCAAATACTATTCTCAAAATTTTCCATTTTCATTTTCATACCTAATACAGAACATTTTGATAATGCTCCCATATGAACCCTCAAATTCTGCTAAACTGTTAAAGTATAAAATTATTGTTGGCTCATCTCCTAATAGTTTAAGCTTTTGGGATAAATTGGTAAACTAGCATAATATCAGAGATGGAGGTCCTGAGTTCAAACCCTCATAATTACACTCTTTATCCCAATTTAAAATTGTCATCATGTGTTGAGATTTTAATATATCTCAAACTTAAATATTCACGTGTTGGGTTTTCTAATTAATTTACTCACACAATTGCCCATTGTCTAGCTCACACGTGAGGGGGAGTGTTAAAGTATAAAACTATTGTTGGCTCTTCTCCTAATAGCTTAAGCTTTTGGGATTGATTGATAAACTAACATGGTATTATTGTTATACCCCTTAGGTAGAACTCATCCCTAAAAGTTAGCTTGTAGGGAGATGGTGCCCAAGTGGTTATAAACTCACATGTTAAGCTCGTGCTTTAATAATGTGTGACTCAACTAGGATTCCAATATACCACCACGCTTTTGACACCAACGTCTACGGCAGCCCACTCTAGATGGCACATTCTGGCCTTTCCAGGTCGTCCCTTCCCAATGTGGGCCTGAGGTGGGACATACTCTGATACTAATTGTTATAACTCTTGAATATAACTCATCCCTAAAAGCACAATAATTTTATATTTTAACAAAAATAACATAGCTCTTCTTCAAACAACATAGCTTTTAGTAAGAAAATAAACCGTAGGTTTCAAACACGGACCACGCAGAAAAGCCGCTAACATAGTAAGGATTAATATCAAGAAAATGAGACGTTGCACTAAGCCACTAACATAGTAACATTATTCAAAATGATACAATACCAGAAATTCTAAAATTCTCCACTTAACACACAAGACAACTTATGAGATCCTACAACTAAAGGAAAAAAGTGACTAAATCCTAACCTTACCAGCAAGCAAAAAGGCCTTGTAACAAATAGACCTGACCAATTTAGGCCCACCCCAAGCGCTCTCAAACTCCTTAACCACCTCTTTAGACAACAAATCAACACCTTGGCTCTTGGCTGTGGCCACAGCAGACCAAGACTCCAACATCCTCAAGAATCCAATAAATGAAAGCCCCCTCGGAATGTCAAAAGCCACAGGGCTTGCCTCGGATCCCAACCCCGTGCTTTTGAAGGGAAACGGCAGTGTTTTGTACCCGTCAAAGACGTAGTTGATTTTCCCATCCCAATATGAGAGAGTGGTGTCGCGAAACCTCTTCATCACAAAGTCGAATGTAGGACTCACTGTGATGTCGTTGTAGCACCACACGGCTATTACTCCCCCCCGGCTTGTGTAAAAGGTGCGAGGTGAGGGAGTAGAACCTAGGTAGGTCAAACCAATGCACTGCCCCCTTGGAATGTCGAAAGCCACAGGGCTCACCTCGGATCCCAACCCCGCGCAACGGCAGTGTTTTGTACCCGTCAAAGACGTAGTTGATTTTCCCATCCCAATATGGGAGAGTGGTGTCGTGAAACCTCTTCATCACAAGGTCGAATGTAGGACTCACTGTGATGTCGTTGTAGCACCACACAGCTATTACTCCCCCCCGGCTTGTGTAAAAGGCGCGAGGTGAGGGAGTAGAACCTAGGTAGGTCAAACCAATGCACTGCCTGAGCCACAGTTACTAAGTCCACTGAGTTTTCCCGCCGATCAAGGAGATTATTTCGTCGTCACTTTTGGTTAATGGAGTGTGAAAATATCGGACTCGAGGGTGTGGCGTGTTGGAATTTCTTAATGATCTAATCATGCTGCTAGCAAAGCTAAGTACCAATTAGATCAAATGCAGAATTAAAAGAAACAGATCGAAAATCACCTCCACCCATTGACGTTCTTGGTGGGTAAAAAGAAAAACTCGGTTTCAGTTCTTCTAAATCTCACTCAATCTCTCGTTGATGGTGTATATTTTTTACTAAATGGAAATTGCAGGCTTAGGGACCTAATTCAACGTACTCTGTCCCCTTTTATAGACTCTGCCCATCACAGAGTCCTTCTCAGATGTGCACCGAACATGGGCAATAGTGGGCAACTGAGGATGAACGTGACTAATCACGTTTTTTAAGTGGTGGAATAGGGTGGACCACATTCTGAGGATCAAGGTTTCAATTGATCACCGAAATTTAATGGAAAAAATCCAACATGGCGTTGCTCGCTCTATCTGAGCCTTGCTCACGTGGGTTCCAATTACTTGCTCATAGTGCTCGGCCACCTAGTCAAAATTTTTTTTGTTGAAAAAACAGGAAAGTGAACAAGCTAGGTGAAATATGCGTAATTTGTCCTGAAAGTTTTCAAGGAATTTAAAAGGAGTATTCACAATTCAGCTTAAATCTTACTCATATTTGGACGTGAAACTTAGGTAAGGTCATATTGACAATATAGAGCTGTTATATTCATAGCTGTACTATAACACAGTTTGGAAATTAGTTGTACTATCCGCATGAACTTTACTATCTTGTAACTGATTATTTAGACAAAAAAAAAAAAAAAAAAGAAAAGAAAGAAAGAAAGAAAAAAAAGATGAAAATTTTAAAACTCCCAGTTTGAAGAGACAAAGCTGATCAACAGTGACACTGGATGTTCCTTTCATATGTTTGAGTAGAAATGTTGAAGTGATATTCAAATTTTTATGAAAGAAAGTAAAAATTAAAATGATTGAATTGTGATATGAAATTATGAAAAGAACGGGGCTATTTTCCAGAGAGGGTATCTTTTGGTGCAGTGAAGCCCTGTTTTTGACAATTCCAGAGATGGGCAATTTGTAAAAGCCAAATTGATTCTGAGTCAGAACCTGAATAATATGATGCAAGAATTAACATTCTCAATCAGATAACTGCCACAGCCAAATCCACTAGAAAATATTCAATTCATCATCAAAAAAAAAAAAAAAAAAAAAAAAAAAAAAAAAAGAATTGAAAGAAGAGGACTAACTCCGAGGGCAGCTTGGCCATTGCCGGTGCCGACGTCCCAAGCCAAGGTGTGGAGAGGAGTGAGAGCGGCGAGCTTCGAATACCATTCGGTCGGGTAACTTGGCCGAGCATCGGCGTAGATATCTGCTTGCTTATCAAATAGACCCGCCATTGTTAACTTCCCGAGCCTCTTTCTTCTTCTTTCTACTAAATTGTAGTCCTACAATATATGTGTCATATTATATATTATATGAGCTCAACAGATTGATAATTATTGAATAATCCGGGGAGAATTATGGTCATTTTTTGTTTGTTTAGCTTTTATGGTCATGGTTATGGCGATCCAGTCAATAATCTTAATCAATTTTTTTTTTCTATTTTGACTAATAATATTAAATTATGCTGTGGTCACTTGTCGATTTGTTTTTGGTAGGGATGTAAATCGGCCGGGTAGGGCAGGGTTGATCCGAAAAATTGAGCCTACCTGACCAATGCGAGTTGAAAAAATTTTAGGCCGCGACACTCTCTTAAGTCTACAAACTTGCAACTTTTCGGGTGACCTCGGGTAGGGTCGGGTTACTCGGGTTGGTGATCTCAAGGACCACATGATCACTTTTTAGTCAATTAATATGTGCTTGTTACAGAAGAAATCATTATCAAATAGAACATGTCTTTCCTTCAATAGGGGGTCTAATTGCAAGGTGAACAATTAAAACACTCACTTTGAAATCAAACACTTTCAATATAAATAAAGAATGTCCTAATTCAACAACTATAGCATACAAGTATTTTTTACACAAACCGTGAATCCAAAACATAAATAAGTTAACAGTTTAAATGCATAAAGTCCATAAACTTATGAAAGTAAGAATTTAAAGTGTTGGACATTGTTTTACCTACTTTGAACATGTTCGGCCGGGTAGGGTTACCTCGGGTTCATGAAACCCCACCCCGCGCCCTTACCCGCGCAGTGCGGGTTAGGGATAATTAAAACCGAAAATTAAATAAAAAATTAGAAACCCATGATTTTCGAGTAGGGTCGGCTCGGCTCGGCCGGGTTCGTCGGGTTCGGAGTGATTTCTTACGAGCCTAGTTTTTGGAAGGGAAGTTGGAGGCTTTATAAATTATTTTCTGAAAGTGACTCAAACAAATGTAAAATTATTGATAACAAGGTTTTCAACTTAGCCCCGTTTAAAATAGTTTTTTACTTTTACTTTTAAGCAGTGAAAAAGAGAAATACATGTCACGAAGTGCATGATTTTTTTTTTTTAATAAAAAATTCTAGAACAACATTTAAACATGTTTGATTAAGTAAGTTAAAAGCTACAAGTACAGAATAACAAACAGCAAGGCAATCTTCAAAAATTTTATGGTAAATGTGAGATAATTATCTTTTAATACTTAAAAAAATAAATACAAATAAAAATGCGGGACAGAGAAAAGGAGCTAGTAATGTAATATGAAAATATGTATGGGATTTTAAATTTGTTATTGAGAAATAGAAGATTAAAAAAATATATATATATAAAGCTTTTTATAAGTTTATAAACACTAAGAAATTAGTTTTTTTTTTTTTTTGGGATTGATTATATCCCTGATTTTGTTGCTCCATTTGTCATTGCGGATTTGGCTTAGCAATAAAAAGAATATTTCCTTAAAAAAAAAAGAGTTTATAAAAGTTAAGAATACTTTAATATTCTCCATCTCAATAGATCCAAAAATAATTTTTTGACTAAATAACTCATAGCGACGTTTTTTTTTTTTTTTTTTTTTTACGCCATTCCAAAGGCTTTTAATCAGATTGGTACATATTCCCATAATCTCATTAAAGTATCTTTTTTTTTTACAAGAATGTCAAGAAAATGGAAAGCCGGTGAGAAACAGAATTTGCAGAAGTCACTCTCACAAATGATAATCAGATTGGTATCATTATGTTCTCATCATCTCATAAAAGTGAGTATCTTTTAATTTTTTTTGAAATTAGTGGCTGGTCCAATTGAAGAGTAATGTTAAATATTGGATGGAAAAATATTTAAAAACTTTTTGTCTTTGAATTATAAAAATCTCTCTTGTTTAATAACTAATTTGTTGTGCTTTCTGTGTTTATACCAAATTTTATTATTTCTTTTTTCTGTTACATTTGTGGCTCACTGTCGTTTCAACCATATTGTCGTTTCAACCATATTGTCGTTTTTCATGCTGATGTCATTTCGAAGATTTTTTGCTATTTGTTGAATTATTAGTTCTTCAAAGTTGTTGTCGTCAGTTTAGTATATTTGTCTTTTGACGATGTTTTATGCTTTGTTGCCGTTTTTTTATGCTAATGTCGTTTTGGAAATTTCTATCTTTTGAAGGAAAATTATCATTATGATTAATCAGTATTAGTATTAGAGGTGAAAGTTTTGCCAGCCTAACCCTAAAACTTGACAGGCATAAGACCGGCTCGGTCTGAATAAGTTTTTGGGCTCAAAACCTTGACCTAGGCCAATAATAGCGGGTCTTAGGCCGATTGCTTAGTACAACCTAAACTTATAACTCTAACTAGTATAGAAAACTTATGAGATTAAACGCGATCAATATGAAAAGAAAATTTTATTTTCGTGCCTTTCAGCACAACCCAATTTGTAAATCATTATAAAAGGAATACATTGTCCTAAATGGAAATTTAACCTTCCTATGCGTGTTGGGTGAATAAAAAATCTAACAACCTGATGAACCCAATTAAACCATCTAATCCAACTAGTCCAATCAACTCGATCAAGATATTAACCCAACCCACTCAACTCAGACTATTAATTGGATGAGTTTGGATTGGATTTTTTTTAACACAACTTACCAAAACCCACCCAATATATTTATATATATAAATAAATATTTTCTTACCTCATAATATATGGTATTTTTCTTATACTTTACATTAATTGTTTGGCAACCTATTATGTTTTATAATTTTTTATTATTATTTGTTTGTCGGTTTACAAATTACAACTTATATAGTTGAACTTGTTTTGCATATATTTTATTTTTGTATTAGTTTATAACTTATGAGACAATTTTAGAGCTTTATAACACTAATATTATGATAAAGTTAGTTTTCTTTTCATATATTTCTTATTTTAAGTTGAATGAATAGTTTTATTTATTTTTATTTATTTATTATGTTCAATCCGATCAATCCACTTAAATTTTAATTGGGTAAATTAATTTTAAATTTTAAATTGATTAGGTGGGTTAAATTTAAAATCAACCCACTTAAACTTAATTGAGCGACTGAAAAACCTCAAAAACCTACCCAAATCACCCGATGTTGACCCCTACGTGTTGGCCTTCACACTATAAACCATATACTTAGACACTATTTTGGAGATCCTCTTACATTGGTGTAATTGTATTCTATAACTTCATTAAGGTACATTATAGTTTAAAACAATATCATCCAACACGTAGGAGTTATTTTTGGGACATAGAAATGTTTTTCTTGTCCTTTCAACTTGAAGATAATGATGAAATAGAAAAAATTAATCCAAAAAAAGCATGAAATAGAAAAAAAAAAATTAACTATACGAGAGTTCTCTAGTAGGTCCAGAAAAATAAATTACAAGTAATTATTTTATTTTTAATTATTAAATTTAGTCAAAATCACATTAAATTGAAAAATATTATACAATTTTTATTATAAATTTGACAATTGAAGCATTTTGTTAAAGTTTTCATTAGCCACTCACCGGTGTTTATATTTTCTTTGTTTTATGGAGCATCTAAGAGCTTGTTCTTTTGGAGTTTAACTTAAATATAATTCTTGAGTTGAATTTGGGTTATAACTTGAGTTGAACTTGTAACTTGAGTTTGTGTTTGGTTGTGTACATTTGAGTTATGGTTTGAGATAAGAATATTTTTGAGTTTGTGTTTGAGTGAGTCAAAATTTGAATTTGTATTCAGATAGTATTTTAATAAAAAATCAATGCTAATGAAAAATTTTAATAGGGTATATGGGTCGGGTTTTATTCATCTTTTCGTTGTCAACGCATAGAAAAAAAATCATCTCAATCAAAATTAAAACGAAAAAGTTATAGCATTTTTAAGAATAGAAAAAATATTGTTCATTAATTTGAGTTCGAGTTTCTGAACTCGAGTTGAAGGGGAAACTTGAACTCGAGTTTTGGTCCTAAACTTGAGTTTAAACTTAAAAGAACATGAAATCGAATAAAGTTGTAACTCGAGTTGTCTTTTTTTTTTTTGAGTTTTTCACTCAAAAGAACAAGCCTTAAGTTTCACAAATAAAGAAGCCCCTCTTTGGTTCGCTCTTTGAATTTTGTTAGATTTGAATTTTTTTATTTGAATAAAAAAATTTAAGCTGCATGGTTTAAATTATAGTTCGAATTGATGTTTAGATGTATAGTTACAATTTTAATTTGAAAAGAAAATAAAATTTGAATATGTGTTTGGTAGGTGTGAAAAACAGAGAGAATGAATACTTTTTTACCATTTAAAAATGATTTGAATAATTAAATTTTGGATAATTTAACTCAATTTAGACAGAAAATATAATTTAAACTGTGAACTTACTATTAAAAGCGAGTTTAAACTGTCTCACTATTTGAATTGAGTTGAACTGAATTAAATTATTAAAATAAACTCGGCAAAATTAACAAGAACGAATTCTTTCTCCCTTCATTGACAAGTGACCACAAACGGAAAAATGATTAAAACGTTATTGAAATAAATAATAAACAAACAAAAAAGACGTGAGTGCAGGCTTAATGGCTCATTGTTCTTCCCGCATTATTTAATAATCCACTCTTTTGAGCTCAAATTATGCATAACATTATTTACGTTGTAGATCCCGAATTAAGTAGAAAGAAGAAGGAAGGAGCTTGGGAAGTCAACAATGGCGGGTCAGTTCGATAAGCAAGCAGATATCTACGCCGATGCTCGGCCAAATTACCCGACGGAATGGTATTCGAAGCTCGCTGCTCTCACTCCTCTCCATACCTTCGCTTGGGACGTCGGCACCGGCAACGGCCAAGCTGCCCTCGGAGTTAGTCCTCTTCTTTCACTTCTTTTTTTTTTTTATTTTGCTTTTTCTCTCAATTGATTATTTTCTTTGCGTTTGTGTACAATTTCACTTTTCCTGCTCGTACCCATTTGGCTGTTCTTGTGATTAGATCTGATGAGCAGGTGAATTTAGAACTCGTTTATTTTCCTGATTAAAATTTAAAATTTAAATTTTATTACGATAAAAAATTTTAAAAAATAATTAGATTTAATTTTTTTATTATAATAAATAATTTTCATATAAAATTACGTATCAATTTAAATCAATAAATTAAATGGGCTTTTAGAATATCTAATTGAGAATGTTAATTCTTGCATAATATAATTCAGGTTCTGGGTCAGAATCAATTTGATTTTTGCAAAATTGCCCATCTGCGGAATTGTCAAAACCATTATTTGGCTCCACCTAGGCTAGACTCAAAATTGCACAATCAGTGACGCCTCTATCATCATGCATCAGTATATGATTTTGTTTATCACTGTTAATCAGCTTAATTTGTCTCTTCTAACTGGGAATTTCAGATTTTTTTTCCCTTCTAAATAATCAGTTAATTAGCTGTTTACAACATAGGGTATATAGTACTGTTTTTTCCCCCCTCTTTGCTAAAGAAAATTTCAAGCGCCGCTAGTTGACTATGAATACAAGTGCTCTATATTGTCAAAATGGCCTCACATAAGTTTCACGTCCAGTATGAGTAGGATTTAAGCTGAATAGTAATACTCCTTTGAAATTCCATGAAAACTTCTAAGACAAATTATGCATTTTTCACTTCCTCCTTTTTCCTTATAATTTGGACAAAAACAATCACCAACAACAATTTTGAACTAGGTGGCTGAGCACTATGAGCAAGTGATTGGAACCGACGTGAGTGAGGCTCAGCTAGAGCGAGCAACGCCACACCCGCGAGTCCGATATTTCCACACTCCACTAACCACAAGCGACGACGAAATAATCTCCTTGATCGGTGGTGAAAACTCGGTGGACTTAATAACCGTAGCTCAGGCAGTGCATTGGTTTGATCTACCGAGGTTCTACTCCCTCGTCTCTCGCCTTTTGCGCAAGCCAGGGGGAGTAATAGCCGTGTGGTGCTACAACGGCATAACAGTGAGTCCTACATTTGACCCCTTGATGAAGAGATTTGAAGACAGAGCCCGGCCATTTTACGACGAAAATATCAAGTACGTCTTTGACGGGTACAGAACGCTGCTGTTTCCCTTCGAGGGCGTGGGGTTGGGTTCCGAGGGGAGTCCTTTGGCTTTGGACATTCCGAAGGAACTTTCATTTGATAAATTTTTGAGGATGGTGGGGTCTTGGTCTGCTGTGATTACAGCCAAGAGCCAAGGTGTGGATTTGTTGTCTGAAGAGGTGGTTAAGGAGTTTGAGAGTGCTTGGGGTGGACCTAAATTGGTCAGGTCTGTTTGTTACAACGCCTTTATGCTTGCTGGAAAGGTGAGGATTTAGTCTCTCTTCTCTCTTTTTTATTTATTTATTATATATATATATATATATATTTAGTTGCAGGATCTCATAAGTTGTGTGTAATTGAAGAATCTCTGGTATTGTGTCATTTGATTAATGTTACTATGTACTCATTTTCTTGACATTTACCCTCCAAGTCGGAATCTCCGTCCAATTTTTTTTCCCCTACCAACCGAAGGACTAAAAGTCACGGAATAAGATTGATTGGTTATTTGTGAGGTTACAAAAGATATAAATGGCGGCTTTGCACTTTAGAATGGGAATGGTATGTGTTTGTGATTAGTGAAACGTTAATCAATCATTAAGTGGAAAAATAATGGCCATGTTTAGAATTGATCCCGTTTTTATTTTTCACATTTTTTGAGAAAGAAAAAATGAAAACATTTTTAAAACTGTGTTTGGCGCAATAAAGATAAAAAACGAAAATGAAAACGATTTTTTTGGTTTAGTGTAAAATGAGAGAGAAATAAAAAATAATTTTTAGTCGTTTTTTATTTTTTATTTTTGTTTTCTCCTCTCTTGAGCAAAGAGAGAGAGACATTAATGAGTTTTTTTATACTGAAAATAATCTCTTGATAAAATTATCAAATGCATTTTAAAAAATTATTTCTGTCTGAGATTGAAAACGTTTTCATTTTCATTTTCATATAAAAAATAAAATCATTTTGGAACGAGTTTTAAACGCGCCCAATAATATTGCAAATCAGATCAAGAAGCATACTGTTGTTAATGATAGGGGGTGCTAAAATTTTAGCCAAAAAAAAAAAAAACAAGATAGGGGGTGCTAAAATAGTCATATGGAATGGATCGACAGGTAAAAGAGCAATCCTACTTTTAATTTTCTAACAATTGTTCTTAATTGGGATAAATTTGTCACCGCTTAAATTTTTTTTATTACAATTTTTATGAAGATTATTTCAAAGATTTTATTATTCTCAAAATTTGCTCATGTTTAATATTTATTTTTAAATATTGCAATTCTATCTTAAATTTCACTTTTAGGGATGATCGTATTTCAAAATTAAATTAAAATCCTAAATAAAGCAAAAACCAACTAAACCACTATATATAAGTTCATAGTTTTACAGAACGAGGCATTTTAAGAAGTTAAAACATTTGTTCATTTCAAAGAATAAGAACTTATAAATAGATTTAAAAAAGGAAAATAAATAGACAAAAAGGAAAAAAAAAATAGATGCATTGTAACGAAAATCATGATTTGAATCATAGTTCATGGTTCGCTACAGTATTTTTTTCTCACAAAAAATACACGTAAATAAAAAATAGTTCTAATCACATGATTCTAATTCATGAACTAAACATCTTCTAAACTCGAAAGTTATGAATCAACTACTCATTTGATATAAGGGTTTAAATCACGGTTCAAACAGTCCTTTTAAAGTGTTTTTTCACATTAAAATTTGTGAAATTTTGATTCAAACCTACTAATAATGATCAGAAGAGATTCGTGTCATAATTCAAATTAAGTTCGCGATTCATTATAATATTTTTTTTATAAAAAATATATATAAAATAAAAATAATTTTAAATTATAATTCAGAAGCAAACATCGACTAAAAGTGAGAGAGAAACGAGAGATTTTTTTTTTTTTTTTTTCTTTTCATTTGTAGGTAATACATCATCTCTTGGTTTTGAGATATGAATCACGCATAATCAAAGAAATGCTATTAAAGGAGTTTGAGGCTGCGAGAAACTGAAGACATAAAAATGCAGAGAGCCTTTTACAGAGCAAGGTCATTATTCACCAACCGCCATTTCTCACTTTCTTCCCAACCAAACACCAAACCATACCTGTTATCACCCCAAACCCAATTCTCCTCCACACAAAATCCCCACAACAGAGCAACTGGGTTTTCTCCTGTTCACCTCGAACAAAACCCAGTCGTCTCCGACGATGACGAGACCCACGACGAGTTCTCCGGCGACGTCGAGAAGATCTACAGAATCCTCCGCAAGTTCCACTCTCGGGTCTCCAAGCTGGAGCTCGCCCTTCAAGAATCCGGCGTCGTTTTGCGCTCCGGCCTGACGGAGCGAGTCCTCGGCCGGTGCGGCGACGCCGGCAGCTTGGGCTACCGGTTCTTCGTCTGGGCCTCGAAGCAGCCCGGTTACCGGCCCAGCTACGAGGTCTACAAGGCCATGATCAGGGCTCTGGGAAAGATGCGGCAGTTCGGCGCCGTTTGGGCTCTGTTAGAGGAGATGAGGAAGGAGAATCCCCAGTTGATAACTCCCGAAATTTTCGTCGTTTTGATGCGGAGATTTGCCTCCGCCAGGATGGTGAAAAAAGCAGTCGAGGTGTTCGACGAAATGCCAAAGTACGGGTGCGAGCCCGATGAGCATGTTTTCGGGTGTTTGTTGGATGCATTGTGCAAAAACGGAAGTGTCAAGGAAGCAGCTTCTTTGTTTGAAGAGATGAGGGTCAAGTTTACGCCGAGTTTGAAGCATTTCACTTCGTTGCTGTATGGTTGGTGCCGGGAAGGGAAGCTTATGGAGGCGAAATTCGTGTTGGTGCAGATGAAGGAAGCGGGGTTTGAGCCCGACGTTGTGGTTTATAACAATCTTCTTGGTGGGTATGCGCAGGCGGGGAAAATGGCGGACGCTTATGATCTTATGAAGGAGATGAGAGGAAAGGGTTGTTCGCCGAATGCTGCTTCGTATACAGTGTTGATTCAGGCGCTCTGTAAGCGGGAGAAGATGGAGGAGGCGATGAGGGTGTTTGTTGAAATGCAGAGGAGTGGTTGTGATGCTGATGTTATGACTTACACCACTTTGATTAGTGGGTTCTGCAAGTGGGGGAAGATTGAGAGGGGTTACGAGATTTTGGATAGTATGATTCAGCGAGGGTTTAGTCCGAATGAGACGACGTATTTGCATATCATGTTGGCGCATGAGAAGAAGGAGGAGTTTGAGGAGTGTGTGGAGCTAATAGGGGAGATGAGGAAGATTGGTTGTGTTCCCGATTTGAAGATTTACAACACGGTGATCCGGTTGGCGTGCAAGTTACGGGAGGTTAAAGAAGGTGTTCGGTTGTGGAATGAGATTGAAGCGAGTGGTTTAAGCCCGGGGCTTGACACTTTTGTTGTTATGATTCATGGGTTCCTTGGACAAGGTTGTTTGATTGAAGCTTGTCAGTACTTCAAAGAAATGGTTGAGAGAGGTTTGCTATCTGGACCACAATATGGGACCTTGAAGGAGCTATTGAATGCTTTGTTACGAGCTGATAAGCTCGAAATGGCCAAGGATGTTTGGACTTGCATAGTGAACAAAGGGTGTGAGATAAATGTGTATGCATGGACTATATGGATTCATGCGCTGTTCAAGAATGGGCATGTTAAGGAGGCATGTTCTTACTGCTTGGACATGATGGATGCAGATGTGATGCCGCAGCCAGATACTTTTGCGAAGCTCATGCGTGGATTGAAGAAGCTTTATAATAGACAAATTGCAGCAGAGATCACAGAGAAGGTGAGGAAGATGGCCGAGGATAGACAGATGACTTTTAAGATGTATAAGAGGCGGGGAGAGAGGGATTTGAAAGAGAAAGCCAAGGAGAAACAGAATGGGAGGAAGAGGAGAGCTCGGAGACGCCGGTGGGGTGGGAGGCATGGCAGTGCTAAAGCTTTGTAGTTTGTATTAGGAAAGTCCACAGTTGTGAACAAAAGGAAATTTTCGGCTTTGATGGGGTGGATGAGATTGCTTGTTGTGCTGTCCATTTAATAGTTGGATATGCACTTATCACTGTGGCCATTATCACTATTAAGCTTTGATAATGCAAGATTTTGCCAGGCTATGTGGTTATAGGTTATATGCAGCCCGCGGCATATGCCATAAGAATGCAAGTGCAGCATCCTCTGATTCCCTTGCTTGCGATTTTTTTTTCAGGTTCTGACTTTAAGCACTTCGGGGTTCAGGCCTTTGGAGTTTAGAGAAGGCGAAAACAATTTGATCGTTCTTTGAATTAGATTAACATGCAGGGTACGCGAAGGGTTACACGAAAGCTTGGTATGAGCTTTTCAAGGACTTCTTAAGGAAAAGAAGACTTTCGAATGGCCGGTTGGAAAAGAGTGCAAATTATAAGGCTCCCATCGATGAGGCTGAGGAAGAAGAGGCTCCGGCAAGTGGACAATGGTGGTTTGACCCAACTCCAAATCGAAGGATGGGGAGCGATCAGCGAGAGACGGACCTCATCACTAAAGACCGAACAAGCAGTAAATAAGGCTCAGAGCTAGTTTTCTTCTTAGAAAGCCTAGAAATGCTTATCTTTGCTCCACTGGAGTTTAATCATCATCAACAACAACCATCGAATTGCCAATAAACCTCTCTGTCGCTTGAAACGTCATTGGCTATTCGGTAAAGAAGAAAAACATGTGATCAATAAACTCCTGTTAATTCAATTAATATTTTTATGGTTGTTTAATCTATTGGTTCTTCTTTTTAGGTTGTTTTAGTGGTTTTGATATATGATGATACTAAACAAATGAATTAGGAGATCGGATCCAACATCATAAAGTATTTAATAATCAAGTGGAATAAATAATATCCGTCATTCTATATACGAAGCAATATTTGTATCAATGTCACTCCTCACAAGGGGAAAGGTCAATCAAGAAAAGATTGAACTCTTTGCCCCTGATAAACGATTTATGCCATAAATCCTTCAATGTTCTTGGACCTTGCCTTTATATCTCTTGTCAACATTAGCATTTATGAGACTGCTCAAGTCCTATAAAGATTTTATCTCATTTTTTTTATCACTGTACAGTAGTATACTTGGAATGGATAGCTTTACGAATGATGATTCTCATTGTGATAATCAGTCTCGTCGTAAATCTCTTCCTGCAGCGTGGGAAAGAAAATGATAATTAGGCGTAAAATTCTATTCCTCTACACAGAATACAAGCCATTATTTTAAAGAAAGTTCGTTGACATATATCTATATACCTGTAACAACTCTTCAATAACATCTTCCAACGTTATAAGGCCAATGGCTTCCCCTTCCTCGTTGAGCTTTGGAAGTGGCTCTTCATCGATGTGCAGAAAATCTGATTCGAAGTCCTTCGACCATTTTTTCCCCTTGGAACTTCTATTTAGTTTTGCCTCTTTAGACAAACCCCTCAACTTCTTCAGCGATCTATCAGCCTTCAAAGTTCTTTCATGGGGATGCCCTTCTCCATGGATGTCCACCCTTACATCTCTCACTAACCTCATGTTTTTTCAAGTATCATCATAAGAAAGCTCTAATGGGAAAGTAGTTGACGACAAAAAGAAACAAAGAAAATGCAGCATAACAATAATGTCTGAGCTTACCTTCGCTACCGTCATCTAGGTTTGTAGCAGTAGCTGGTTTGTCCATGTCGTTTTTCTGTCTTACGACAACAGCCATATGGCTATGACCTTTCTGAAACTCATTTAGTATATCATACAATGGCATTGTTTCTGGGACTCTGCAAGCATGAAGATTAAGATGTTTGTTTATATCATTTATAAATCTGGATCTGTTGGTCATATTCATACTCTTGGTTTGAATTTACCTAGGAATCTTGCGGATAGCGACTCTTTTTACCGGCACCTCATCATCTGGATGGATGGTAAGTAAGTTCTTCACCTACAACAAAATGATTAGTCATGGAAACGTTGTCTGCACTCATTGAACAGGATTTTATTATCTAGTAAAGACTGAGATCAACATGCTTAGATGATGAGTATGCCTAATTTTAATTTTAAAAACACGTGTAAAGATTAAAAAGGATTTTTTTTAATCAATTTTCATGATTGTTAAACTGTCTCTTGATGCTAAGGCAATTCATTTTACAACTCTTTTACATTACTCATCTTTGTTTTTTTAGTTCACCAATTTAATGGCAGGGGAATCTAATTTTACACAAGTTAATAAAAAAAAATAAAATTTGAGTGGACAAAAAGTTTGTCATGTCTAATCATTTTTTATTTAAGTGAATAATCAAGAAATTACCAATACAAGTCCAATGATGTTTCTTGGTTGCTCATGATATACTGGAACTCTGCTATGCCCTTTCTCCAATATTACTTTTTTCAAGTTCCTGCATATGAGGAAAACAGTAGTAAATATCTCATGGTTTGTTGGGAGACCAAATGTGGTACTACAGATCATTTGTTTTTTTCATGTTCACAATGTCTGCCATACTACCTGTCCAGTTTGGCATTCACATCAACTGCAAAAGTTTCTGAAATTGGAGTCATTGCATCACTTGCTGTTTTCTCGGTGAGTTCGAGCGCTCCTGCAATTATCATCGTCTCATCTCGTGTCAATTCGCCACCTTTTCCAGCCTGCAAAACAATAAAGAAGAAAATGTGTAACTGTGAATCAAAACTACATATTGTCAATCAAGTCCTTGATGCTGCAGGGTAGAAAATACGTACCTCATTACCATGCAAATCAACTAGTGTCTTTAGTTCATCTCGACGAAAAAGTGCATCGTGTCCTTTCCCTAGCAAGAAATCTAAAAGCTGTGAATACACCGCCGTCAATTTGTCAGAAAATTGTGTGGATAGTGTGAAAACTATGATTAAGGGAAAGCATGAATTTGGTTAAAGCAATGTCACCTTGCTTATTGGATATGCAACAGGAAAACAGATGCAAACAAGAACCCGAACAAATGGCGCAACCGCAGCACCAACTGCCAGACCATATCTAGAACAAACAGCCTGGGGTATTATCTGCATTATGTAAAAGAAATTGGTACTAATTTCTAGGTAAAAAAGAGGAAAGGATTCGGAAATTAAGGCAAATTCTTGACAAGAAATGCTAGCGCCACCATTTTTGTCACTTTTTGATATGTGTATTGCACTATCTCAATTTCTGTTTAAATAATAATATATCATATTCGTAGTTTTCACGTGTTAAACAGTGAATACAGAAAGTGACAGAAATAATGACGCTAGCATTTCTCCTACTTTTACATGTAGGTAAGAAACTTACTTCTCCAAATAGAAGTATCAAGGTTACTGAGAGAAGAATAGCACCCCAAGCCGTTACCAAGTTATCCAGAAAAATTGGAAGTGTCTGAAAGTCATATTTTGAGCTTTAAACACACGTGTATGCCCATTTTCAAAATCTCCCCCGATAAATAAATAAGAATAATGTTAGGAACAATAATTATATCTCAATTTGTGTACGTACTCATGAGGTATCATATTTTATTGATTAGTGTTTAAAGATTGCCACATCAATTATAATAAGAGCATGCACATACCAATAGAATTATGACACATGATGAGTCGGTACACGAGTTGAGATAGAGTTTGTGTTCCTAACATTATTCAATGAATAAATGAAGGCTTTTTGTTGGCATGGTTAATGGAGATTACCTCCATAGCAGCAGCATTGCAGATTAATAGGGTGCAAAGCAATAGATGTTGTTTTCTAACCACTGGCAAGATTTTTTCTGCATGAGTAAGTAAATGAAGTTCTCAATCGAGCTTGGCCTTTTATTTTATTTATTTTTTTATTAAAAGGAAAAAAAAAATCTAGTGCATGTGTTTTGGGTCATATTTTATGTAGTTCAGCCAATGCTTTGATTGGTATGCATTTCAAAATTTAATGCGCTTAATATTGGTTGACCAAAAATGGAAAAAGAAAAAAGAAAAAAAGTTTATATTCATGATGAACCGTTGGAAAAAATAATATGGTAGAACTGATAAATGTAATTTATAAATTTCAGCAATCATATTATCTATAGAGCATCTGCGGACATTTGAAAGAAGATAAAACAGAAGTTTAATTGTTAATTAGGCTGGGTTTTTTTTTTAAAACAGTAATTATTGTCTCGTAACACTTTCATGTTTAAATTTTCCGAAAATTTATATTATTCGAACAACGAACCCTCTAAAAAATGATGTTCAGAATCAAAGAAGCCAATCATTTATAACTGGTTGATGGAAAAAAAAAATTTTTAAAAAAACGGGGGTAAATTGGAAGAATCAATTTGTATGGTCTAATCAAATGCTAAAAAGCAAGCAATATTGTTGCTTAATGTGGTAAATTGATGCTGATTCTCGGGCATAAATACGCCGCACTATTGCAGATTCTGTATGAATTTTACTAATATAAATTAATCCAATTGAAGCCTATACACATATTTGACACTAGTGTTATGGTCCTACTTAGGATTTTATTTTAGTTAGATATTTCATTTACTTTGTAACATCTATTTTAGATTTTAGTATATGTTTGTTTTTTGTATTTGTTTATAATTTTAAATTATGATTCATGGTTCTCTACAGTGTTTTTTTCTAAAAAAATACACGTAAAACGAGAATAATTTTAAATTATGGTTATAAATCTATGAACCAAACGTCAGGAGAATTAGTGAAAATTGCAAGTTAAAATCCACTCGAATGAATTTTATTCCATCTTTTTATATTTGTTTAAGATATGAGTTCGTATCAGACACCAATTGAAACCCAAAGATCTTGAGGGGGAAAAAAAATGAAAATCAAAGAAAATAAATTAAAATAAAATAAATGCATGCAAAATACGTACCGGCGTGTGAACTATCAGTGGGCGTGCCAGACTTGGCAAGAACTTCAAGGTCGACGAGGCTCAAAGACATAAGGCCCAAAGTGAGCCCAGACATGAGCCCAGCAAACAAAACCAGAGCTATTATTATCACAATGCGAATGAAGAAACCCGTTTCACAGCAACTGTATTCTATTGCCATATTTCTTCTTCTTCTTCTTGCGTGAGACAGGCAGAGAGGGAATAATGAAATAGGTAAGAGGTTGTATATAAATTATGCACATATGAACATATTTATATATATAGACGTGACAAATTGCTGCAAAATGCCAAAAGAATGAAATCGGATTCGAATAAATTTCTTTTTTTTTTGTTTTGTTGGTGCTTTTCATGTGAAACGTCTCGAACATACATCTTCTTTTCTTTTCTTTTATATATATATATATAAAAAAGATAACTGCTGTTTGATTCATTTATTATTTTCTTAAAAAGAGCTTTCCGACCAGGAAAAAAAGGACTGCGGTGGAGGGTCGGTGGCAAGGTCTATGTATAAAGTATAGATAATATTTATGGTAAAGGAAGACTTTTTTTACTATAGATACCGTAAATTAGGTTGAATTAATCTTTTAATACTTAAGGTCTATTTAGTTTATTAATTTGAGTTTTTAATTTGAGTTAAAATGTGATTTTATGTGATAATTTTTTACTATAACAAAAAAGTTAGATATAACTGTTTCTAAGAGCTTTTTACTGTAATAAAATTCAAATTCTAAACTTTAATCGGTAAAATGAACGAGACGTTAAACATATAATTGAAAGTAGTTTTGCGTTGTGTGTCAAATTATGTGGTATCGTTCACTTCACTGATTCGAGTTTTCAGTTTTAGGTTTTTACAGTAAAAAGCTCTCAGAAAATATCACATTTAACTTTTTTTACTACAATAAAAAATTTTTAAAAAATATCACATCTCAACTCAAATTAAAAACTCGAATCCGTAAAGTGGCCGAGCTACCTGCACTTTTAGATTTGACGCCTAAATCAACAGTATATATTGACCGGTATTACAAAAAAAAAGTCTTAACTAGGGTAAAAATTGTCACATTAATATTTGTAGCAGTCATAAAATCAATCCACCATCATCTTTGTGGGGCCCACCTGCTGATGTGGCCAGCTAGTAAATGTCCTTGAAAGAGAAGCTGACGAAAAGACTCGTCTTGGATTGTCTTGTAGAGGTAGGTTAGTTGATGAGTGGAAAATTGAAGGATATATGCGTAAGATAATAGTAGGATAATATTCCATTATTATTCTATTAAACATGATGTTTAGTTCATGAATTATAATTATGTGATTAAAATTATTTTTTTATTTACGTATATTTTTTGTGAGAAAAAATATTATAATAAATCATGAATCATTATTCAAATCATGATTTAAATCTTCCAACCAAACGTCTCCTAAGCTTCACGGAGACACAGCCCACCTTCCACTGGAACTTCACTTTCTCAAGACTCCTTTTTGAGATATAACAACACGGAGACGGAGGGATTCATCTTTGCGAAGCCCTCAATTTATCTCATGCGAAACCCTCAATTTATCTCATGCTAAGCCGAATAGAAATACTTTTTTTTTTTGTTTTTCACATTATAGGACAATTTATCCGAAGCCAAATAAAAATGTTTTTTTCAAGAGGGCAATAAAAATTGTGAGAAGAGAAAATATGACATGTGTTGGAATAAAATTTCGTTCAACACTCCTTTAAGGTCGTTAGACCAAAAATTTAAATTAAATAAACGAGTAATCTAAGAAAATTAGATGAACACTTTAAGAATACAATTAACCTTTAAAAAAATAACGAGAACAAACGAAGACAACCACAAAGCAATTGTATTCATAAATGAGTATTTGTCTTTTCCTCTCAAATTAAGGAAATTTATAGTACATTGAGATTGAGAGAGTTTAATTTTTTCATTAATTCGAGAGTTTATTATCTCTTAATTACAATGATGTTCTTCACCTTTTTGTGAGTTAAAACTGATAAATAATCAATAAGAATTAATTTTCAATCATTTAGGTCCCGTTTAGTTTGCTGATTTGAGTTTTTAATTCGAGTTGAGATGTGACTTTATATGAGAGCTTTTTACTGTAGCAAAAAAGTTAGATGTGATTATGTTTTAGAGTTTTTTACTGTAGCAAAACTCAAACTCTAAACTCGAATCGGTAAAATGAATGAGTAGTTAATGTCTTCAATTAGTGTAAGTTACTTCACTTGATGACATCACACAACCTTTGAACTTTCGCCTCATGAGAACTTGGGCTCTGGCGAGCTTGAGCTCGAGAGAGATTGGCCTCCGGCAAACTTGGGCACAAGAGAGATTGACCTCATACGAGATTGGCCTTAGGCGAGCTTGGACTCGGGAGAGTTTGGACTCCGGTGAACTTAGGCTTAAGCGAATTTGGACTTCGGCGAACTTAAACATAGGTGTATTTGAGCTCGAGAGAGCTTTTGAATTTATTGGGCGTTTAATATTTCCGGAAATGCTGCCCAACAACATGTTCATTTTCCTTGTCAAGATCCATTTCTAGCCTCAATTCCTAACTCTCCAAAGCTCAATAGTTTTTGGAAGGCATAAAACAAGTTAAGGCCAACTAGTGTGCAAGGTTTGTTGATTTCCTTTTTGTGTCGCTTCCGTAAAGTAAAACAATCTGCAATGGATTTTACCCCGGGGTATAACAGCTTGTAGTTTTTCATAGACGTCCTTTTTGCAAACGATAAATTGCGCACGAACATGTTTTTATCCTATATGGTGTTTACATTAGTGAGTACCTACTTGTAATGCAAGATAATATGGGCCCGTTTAGTTCGCTGATTCGAATTTTTAATTCGAGTTGAGATGTGATTTTATGTGAGAGTTTTTTACTGTAGCAAAAAAGTTAGATGTGATTGTTTGTGAGAGCTTTTTACTGTAGCCAAACTCAAATTATAAACTCAAATCAGTGAAATAAACGGGTAATTTGTTGGATTAGGTTTAAAAGTTTTGGCCTTTTGCTGTTTTATTTATTTATTTTATTGGGTTTGTCAGATCTTTCTCACATTTTGATCATTATACAAAACAAATCCAAGTATTTTATGCAACTCACAAAATTAACCTTTAAATAACGGTCACCCCCGAGAACCCTTCACGTCACAAAAATTTTCATAAACCTCCTCAGAACATCCATACACCACATTTATCGTCTGAGTTTAAACCAACCAGAAAAAAAATAAAAGATAAAAAATAAAAAAAAGCTTATAGATCATGATTATCTGGGAAGATTTTTCCAATAATGCAAAGGATCTTTTGCCACGTTATCTTTGCCATTGATCTTGAACACTTTCGACTTTCAGAGGAGCTATTCATGGTCGGATTAATTGAGAGAAAATTGACATGTTAGAAAAGAGAACGATCTTCCAATTAAATCCTAATCCTGCTATTGAAATGTTTTTTTTTTGTTTTTTTCAGAAAACAAGAATTAATTTTTTTTCCTTTTTTTTCCTTTTTTTTTTTATTTTTATCTTAAGGATACACCAAGAAAAGGTTTGATAATTTTCTTTAGTTAAATTAACTCTCACTAATGAAATGTATCAATTTATATTAAATCCAATATGATAGGAAACGATTGGACACCAAATAGTATACTTTGGGAATCACCTTATATGCTATGCTGGGTTAAAAAAGATAAGACAGAAAACCATAATAATGAATAATTAATCTATTTTATTTTATTTTTCTCTAGAATCGATTTGATTTAGTTTGATTTTGATGTGTTAAGTTTTCCTATTTTTATCGGTTTTCAAACGCCCCAAGTTCATCCCTAAGTACTTTTATTTTCTATATATAACGATATGTCGTCTTATAGGTTTGGTTTTAGTGATGCCTTGACGTCCAAGTTTTAACTTTACTAAATACGACTTGTCATTATCATCTACGAAATAAAAGGATACGTGGAACTCGTTTTAAACTGATTTTATTTTTATATGAAAATAAAAATAAAAATATTTTTAATCTTAGACATAAAATATTTTTAAAAATGCGTTTGATAGTTTTATCAATAAATTATTTTCAATATAAAAAACTCATTAATATCTCTCACTGTTTGAGAGAAGAGAAAATGAAAATAAAAAATAAAAAATCACTAAAAGTCATTTTTTATTTTTCTCTCATTTTATGCTAAATCAAAAAATTATTTTTATTTTTATTTTTTATTTTTATTACGCGGATCGTCATTCTAAAATGTTTTATTTTTTTTAAAACGTAAAAAATAAAAACGACGTCAATTCTAATTCTAAGCAGGCCTGTCGTATTTTCGGATGTCGGTTTATTCAAACGACAAACCGTAATCTCCACACTCGCCTGTACCCTCCATACTCTCGTCAGAAGCTTAGGAAAACATTTCTGATTTTCAGAAGAAGAAGAAGAAATATCTCATTTCGAAACCAAGCTTCGATCAAAATGATGAGAGCCATTTCTCTCTCACGTCCTAGTCTTCTGAGCCCTCTCTTCCAAACACTCAATTCTCTCCTATCGCTATCATGCTCCGGCCGGATCCTCCCGGCGCCGCCGATAAGGGTTCCGTCGGCGCCGTACTCCAGTGATTCGACGGCGTACGAGGATGTTCCGGGCCTTGAAAGTCTCCCAAAGCTGTTCGTGGTTCAGCCCCGTCTCCGTCCGGATCCCATTCTGCAGGCCAAGCTCAACGAAGCACTCTGCCTCGCGAACTCTCTAGAAGAACAGCGTGACGGCGGCTTCGGCGTCGATTACTCCGACAAGGACGTTCCTAACCACATTGTCGTTCAAAACCCTTCGGCTAAAGGCCACAAGGCACGCGCTGGTACGTCTTGAATTTCGACCTTTCTAATTGAGAAAATTTTCGATTTTTATTCAGTTTTGTGATTTGGATTGTAATAGTAATCTGCATTGTGTTTTTATTTTATTTTTTATTTTTTATGATTATATCTGTGGTGTATTTGAATTTGCCTCTTGCAGACACATATTTTGGTTTAGGGACAGTGGAAAATGTTAAAATCCAGCTAAATCTTTTGGAATCAAAGGTAGTATTTTTTTAATTTTAAAATTTAAAATTTAAAATTTTTCTTTGTGGGTCTTTGTTTGAGATTTTACAGTACTTATAGTGTTAACAGGGTGTGGTGGATGCTGTTTTTGTAAACACAATTTTATCCGGGCATCAGCAAAGGAATTTGGAGGCAAGTTTTCTCCTCCATTTGGTGGGATTTTTTTTTTTTTTCCTTCTTCTTTTGAAGAAATTGATTTTTTTCCTTTTAATGGCAGAGAGCTTGGGGCAAACCTGTGCTTGACCGTGTGGCTCTTATAATTGAGATCTTCAATGCTCATGCCTACACAAAAGAGGCAAAGTTACAGGTATTGCTGTCATCATTCCTTGAGGATTTAGAATCTTTACTTTTCAACTTTCAACTTTTGAGAGGAGTTTGCCCTGAAGGACCTGGTTTCTTACAGGCTGAATTAGCAGCTCTAATGTACAAGAAAAGCAGACTTGTTCGTGTTCGTAGTGACGATGGACGCTACACTTTTGGATTCGATGGAGAAGCTGAAGTTGTTAGCGCCCGGGGGTAGTATATTGCCTCGTTTTTATGTTTGTGAAATAACAATGATGAAGCATAAACATGTAGTGAAAGCAGAAAGTGACTGGGATTATGCGTTAAAAGAAAAATGTACCAATGAGTTTTGTGAATTAGTTATTCACTGTTGGAAAAGTTTTTTGACCTGTTGGATTTCAACTGCAGGAGAGGAAGTGGTGGGCGTGGATTTATAAGTGGTGCTGGAGAAACTGAACTTCAACTTCAACGACGAAGGTTTCATTCACTGATCTCTTGTTTCCTTTCATACTAGAGAAGTTGTTTGATGAAGAATATATGTTGCTGATTTTCAGAAACTTTTGTTTTTAGTAGTAGATACATACAGCCATCGATACGTTTTAGTTTAAGATAGATTTACCATTTGGTTACTTGGATATGAGATGTAGTTTTGGATTATTGCTCTCATTTATGGTTCTTTAAAATTTCATTTTTCATTAGTTTTCACTTGTAGCGTTATAATGTCAGAATTTCAGAACGGAGGAAAATTTTGTTAACACAAGTTGAAGAGGTTCATCGAACTCGAGCGTTGCAACGGGCTTCTCGTAAGAGACGTGGTGGATCACATGGTCAAGGTTTACCTACTGTTGCTGTTGTTGGCTATACAAATGCCGTATGTTATCTGAACAAATTATAACTACCTCTTGTTTTAACTTTCTTTTTTCTAAGATATGATACTGATCTACTTGGTTCTCTGAAAGCAGAGCGAGATCATGTTTGCTTCTTGCTTTTAACTTGTAATTGTTAATTCTGCTCTTATTAACAGGGGAAATCAACTTTAGTCAGTGCACTCTCAGACAGTCCTCTCTATAGTGATGACCGGTAATGTAATCCATTTTTATGATATGTGTTTGGATTGCGGAGCCATATGTATATTAAACATTGAAATTTGACTTTCAAGATGTATTATAGTTTTGTTTCAGCAATAGATGTATTATAGTTTTGTCTTCTCTCATATTAAAAAAAGAAGGGAAATATAATAAATATTGATGTCTATTTTTCTGTAGACTCTTTGCAACTGTGGATCCGACTGTAAGAAGTGCAGTTCTTCCTTCAGGGTAATATTTTTAAGGAATGATTTCTATTTTGATCTCTGTTTTGTTCAATTGTGGCACTTCTCTAGAGCTTATTTCGGCTGATCTTATCATGTTTATGTCATGTCCAGAAGGAAAGTGCTCCTAAGTGATACAGTAGGATTCATATCAAATTTGCCAGTGCAGGTATATTGTAAAACCGCTGGTTTAAATGGTCTCCATTTATTCCCCTCTGATAGAAGGTTAAGTGCTTTATCGTTGCACTATATGTTATCACTATTCTTCTTCATTATTAAGGCAACTCAAATTTGCAGTTAGTTGAAGCGTTTCATGCAACTTTAGAAGAGGTGGCGGAAGCTGATCTGCTTGTGGTATGCTCCCAAATCTGCAATGGTCTTTAAAACATATTATCGTTATCAATGAACTTAATTTAATAATGTAATCTTGATTTGGCAACTTTCATAATTTCTCTCCCGCAAATGACTAGTAAAGTAGACAGATCAATTGAAGTTCACAAGTATGGATAATTGTTTGTTTATTGGCTTATATTAGAAGTCACTCTTAACAGAAAATACCTGTTTTGGATATGATACAAAAATCAATCACTAGATAAATGAAATGGGAAATCATTTTAGGGTTAGTTTTGTCTCCAAAGATGTGCCTAATTGGTTTAATTAATTCTAATAGCATGTGTTGGACTGTACTGCCCCCAATCTTGAGGAGCACCGGTCAACTGTACTTAGCGTTCTTGAGCAAATTGGGGTATCAAAAGAGAAGGTTGACGATATGATTGAAGTTTGGAATAAGGTATTATCCCAAACACCTTTTTTTTATCCCTTCTGTTTTGCATGTAAGATAGAATATTCATAACGAGTGCTATGATATGAAATTCTCAGATTGATAATCAAGAGGGGGGTATGGACGGAGATGAATATCCTGATGATGCTGAAGATGGTCAAGCTAGCGAGTTTTCCGGAGAAGAAGAGGACGATATGGCGTCTGAGCAATCACTAAGTGCTGGAAACAATCAGGCCGACAGTTCCGATGCCTACGAACTATCAACAGACAATGTTGAAGCTATGGATGACGCAAAAGATGACTACACTGATGGCTGTTTGGCATCGGAAGATGACCGAAACCCTTTGAGTGATGAGGATGGCTCTTTTGTCCCACAGAAGACTACGGATGCCCAACAAATTCAGTGTTCGAATGAATCGCGTCATTCTCAAGTAGATCAGTCTGGTCCACATGTCAAAACATCCGCGTTAACAGGAGTTGGTTTGCAAGAGTTGCTTCAAATCATTGACGAGAGGCTAAGGGACCAAGATGACAAGGTGAAGGCCAAGTATGTTGTGGAAAGGAGTGCATTTGGTCAAAAATGGAGGCCCCCTCGCGAAGAGGAGACTGCAGTAGCAGTTTGATGCACATTACAGTCTTCCTCTTTGCTACCTTGACCTTGGGCTATTTGATAAATGGTGACCCAACTAATTGAATAAGCTCTTCTCACGCTTGGAAGTTTTGGGGAGATGTGGTAAATAGATTTTTGTTTTTTTTACGGAGGTAAAATGGTAGAATTTTTTCGGTAAGATAGTAAATAGAAGTAAATCTGAGATTTATCATATCTATTTCATGATCGAATTTGGTAAATTTGGGATTTACTTGAATTTATGCCTAGTAAATTCTGAATCCATGGGATTTATTACTAGTAATTCTTTCATCAATATTTATTAATTTTTTATTCACATAATATTTAATAATTTTTTGGTTAATAAACTTATTTTTAACTCTTATAAATGTTTGTTAAAAGTTAAAAATACTAGGGGTTTTTTTTGGTTGCTAAACAATTTAAGATACTAGTTGTTGTGCGGGAAAATTCACGCTAACACGTCGGACAACGACCAGGTCACAAGTGGGAAAATTCATTCAGCTCTCGATGCCCTAGCCTCATTGGTCTCTCCTGTATGGCAGGAGAGTCGAATGTGCTAAGACTGTATGGTAGGAGAGTCGAATGTGCTAAGACTGAGAGCGATGACTCCATATGCAATCGAGGCTTGAAAGATCCACGTACATAACGTGGTGAAGTCGGCCGCGAGGGAGGATACCCTCGGTAAAGGTCAGCATATGTGCAGACTGCAAGCAATTTTATCCGCGTCCCGAGGAAGGCCCCTGAAAAGGTTGTGTTTGGATTTGAAAAATGTCAGTTGCATAAAGAAATGATTATAGGCCCCTAAAACCGCCAGAAACAGATCACTAGCTATTACAGAGATCCACATGGCCGTAATAGGGGGACAAATTAGATGAGTGAACAGTCCAAAAGTTAATTGCAGGCTACCGTCTGCACCAAAGAGACCATAGACTACTCAAGTAGGCGGGCCTAACGAAGGATATGGTCCACTGGTCCGAACGGCTTACCATTGGGCAGAAACTCAGGCAACATCAACTATAAAAGGGAATGCCCCCCGAGAGAGAGAGAGAGGGGACGGATGATTCCTTAGATACATGTAGTTTGTAAGATCTTACTCAAAAGAAATAAAAACACAATAGATGTAGCCCTTGATTAACATGGTGAACCACTATAAAATTTTTGTGTGTTCATACTTTCACGAGCATAATTTCGTTTTCTTCATATTCTAGTAAAAACTCAACTGCAAAATCTAATATATTCACTAAAAACATAAGTTCTGAACCGGTAACCTAACAGGTCACTGTGGGTAATCCGGCACGGTTTTTATCGACAAAAATCCACCATCAACGCTAGTTATTAACAATTGTAAGCAAGCTCTTTACCAGTACAAACAATCAAAACTAGATTATTATTTAACATTCTTAAAAGTTTTGTTGCGTGGAAAAGTTCTGTGTTTTTTTTTTTTTTCTTTCCCGGCCTATTAATAGTTTTCTTATTTTTTCTTTTTTGCTCAAATCATGCCTATTAACAGTTTTCCTAAAAGGTTGAATATATTTTAAAGAAAATCAATTACACAAGCCTATCAGCAATCCACTTATATTAAAGAACGCCGAGCTGTAATTAATTTCGGATAAAAGTTTTCTTTTTCAACTAATAATAATAACGGTACAGTTTCCCTCCTGGGTATTTGAAACGGGAAATAGACCACAACGTTGTCTAACGTCGAATTTATTTTACTGATTTAAATTTTGTTATAATAAAAAATTCTTAAAAATAGTTATATTTAATTTTTTTATTATAGTAAAAAGTTTGTATAAAATTACATCTAAACTCAAATTAAAAACTCGAATCAGCGAATTAAACGGATCTTAATTTTCATCTCATCCAATACCTCGAGTGACTTGAGCAAAGAATTTGAGTGAAAAAGTAAATTAACGTAACAGAAAATATTATAGCAGAAATTTGAGTGAAAAGGTAAATTAACGTAAGAGAAAATATTGTAGCAGAACTTTAAGTTATAGTTCGAACGAGTAAAATAAACGGGACATTTATTATCCCCCTGATAAGTTGATTATGCATGCTGTCTTTTGAGGATAATACAGTAATGTACGTCAGGTGAACCTCCACCTCTGTTGCTTTCAAGAAAAAAAAAAAAAAAAAAAAAAACTTCCACTAAAAATTTTCCATGATTGGGGCCTAAATACATTATAGCACCGGCACTCGCAAAAGCTAAGAGGAAGAGTGCCTAACCCATTAAAAAAACTATCGATTTGTCAAAATTGTTTGATAGATTTCATTAAAATTGTATGGTAGTGTTGAAAGATCCCAATTATATATTATTAGTCATTGCCCTTAAGAATAAAACTTTCATAAATCTTTGGAAGTTTTTTTTTTTGGTTTTCTTCTCCTTCAAAATTCGAGGTGATTACTTCGTTAAAATGTAATAATAAGGAAACCATATGCTTTTCTATCAAAAAAAAAAGAAAAGAAAGGAAACCATTTTTCTCAAAGAATACACGCAGTCATAGTAGCATTTATTATAAAAGAATGTAAAATAAAATGAAACTTTACTCGCCTTCTTTTTTATTTATTTATTATTTATTTATTTATTATTTAGTACACTTCTTCCTTATAATTATCACTACAAATACTAATAAAATACTCTTGTGATAAATAAAAATTTTCCCAAATTCCCAAACTATTCATAATAGCCATAAATAACAAACTGTCTTCCATTATCAATCCCCGCCCTTCCCAGTTCCCATTCAACAACACTGCTTCTTTCACATCACATCACATCTCTCCTCTCTCCTCTCTCCTCTCTCCTCTCTTTCTCTCTCTAAAAAAGCAGCAGATATATTTCCACAGATCCAAGATCCAGACGCGTTTACACATCGCAAATGTGCTTCTCTCGCTTCCTGATCTGACCAGATTTCACGCATTACTCCGCTCAATTGCTCTAAGGTTTCTCCTTGATTCTCCATCGCTTTCCGCTCCTCTGGATACAAATTTCTTTTCCTTTCGCCTTTCCTGAGAACCAAACGGATTTGTAAAAAGCTTCACTCTTTCTTTGTCACCAGTTTATTTATGGATCTCTGTTTGTGTATCTTGTAAGATTTCTCGAACTAACGAGTTGTGATTTCGAATTATACCTTTCTTTTTTGGACAATTGAGCTAACTCACGACTTTGATTTGTTTAAGATTCTGATCTGATATCTTCTTGCTTATTCACTTATTTTGTTAGCCGATGAATATTGATTGGAAGCTATATTTTATTTATGTGTGTATGGATTTGAAACAGTGTGAAGATTAGCGGGTTTATCATTGATTGGGTTTGCGAGGAGAAGTAGACAATGTCGAGGAGACAAGTGGGGTCCACCAGGCGCAATGGGACCTTTTCCTTATCAGGAGCCTTCCATTCGAAATCAAGATCTTCACCTTTGTTATCTATAGGGCTAGTCGTTGTGGTAATTTTCAAGTTTTATATGACTAGTTTTGTTTCTGCCGCTTCGGGTAGAGATTCACAGTTTAATGTGAATCAAAATTGTGGGAGTTATTGCTTGAATTAACCTTTACTTTTGGTTAAATTCTCAGGGGGCGATCCTTCTAACCGGCTATGCTTATAGTGGCTCAGGTTTATACGGTTTTATTTGCAGTGTTTTCATCGTTTCTTTTATTGGTGATTTTCAAATGTAGATAAATTGTACGATAGAGAATGATTTAAAGCTTCTCTTTTCGGGTTTTTTCTAGTGTTGTAGATGTTATTTTCTTTAATTTGTACTATAAGGGATTTATTTGTCTCATTTTTGCACGGAAGTCCAATGACTTAATATTTGATTTTTGACATACAGGTGGTTCCAGAGGTGAAAAGGCAGTTAGTGGGGTTGAAGGTGAGCATTGCATTTCATTTTCATGTACTTGGATTTTATCTTCGTTCTCAAGGTCGCTTTTAGAAATTTGCAGCACTAATCAATTGTCATGTCCCCCTTTTGTTTTTCTCCGATATAAGGAGAAAAAAGTTCAGTTACATGTCATTAAGCATGGTGGTTTATAGATTCTTTGGAATTCCATGAAAAATGTTAAGCATTAGCTTGAATGAGAAAGCAGTAGCGTCTTTTTTAGCTTATATATGTGGTCAGTTCAGTAGAAAAAGTGGAAAGAACACATTTATTGTATCTCCACAGACAAGTTTACTATCACCATTCGAGATGTATACATGCATGCATTTATTCATGGATATAATTGTGTGTGTTTTGGTAATATTGTAGATAAAGTAATTCTGATACAAAAAATTCATTTTCCATCTTTAAGGTGACTATTCGTGCACATTAGAAGTTCAGAGAGCAATACCTGTTCTAAAGAAAGCATATGGTGACAGTATGCGCAAAGTTTTGCATGTTGGCCCCGATAGTTGTTCAGTTGTCTCCTCATTGCTAAAAGAAGAGGAAACTGAGGCGTGGGGTGTGGAACCATATGACATAGAGGATGCTGATGCCCGGTGCAAGAGTCTTGTGCAGAAAGGCATTGTTCGCGTGGCTGATATCAAGTTCCCCTTGCCCTATAGATCAAAGTCCTTTTCTCTTGTTATTGTGTCCGATGCTTTGGATTACCTATCTCCAAAATATTTGAACAAGACTCTTCCAGAATTGGCCAGGGTATCGGCCGATGCTGTTGTAATTTTTGCAGGTACTTTCAAAAAAAGGTTTTATTTTTACCTGATAAAATGTTAATAGTTGGAAACTATTATAAAGTAGTTTCACTCTAGATTTTTGTTTCTCTTTAGTTTGCTGCATCAGATAATTCTGCAGCTTCAAATTGTAAATGTCTTATTCCCTCGCTCCCTCACTGCCACCCACCCACCCCCCACCCCCAGAGAGGCCAGGGTCCCACCTAAGAAAAAAATGGCCTAATTCTATGTGTTTCATCTAAATGCAATAATTTTGTGTGGTCTTTGGTAAAGATATTTATGGTCGATGCTAAGCAAGATATTTAACTGATAGTAAACTGTCTCATCATGACTAATAACAGAGTATCCATCTTTAACGTTAGGATCATAAGTTTTAGATGCATCTTTTTTGGTTTGTTTTTTTTCTTCCATACGGATACAGGAAAATGGTAGTCCAGCTGTCCAGGTTTTTTTATTGTCGGTTCAGTTTATTGTTCTGAACAATTTTATCAATGTATAACGTAATGGGCTGTGATTGGTATTTGTGTATTTTTATATTATTTGCTGAAAATAATT